AAATCACCATTCCCCTACAGAAAAAATGGTCTGATGGAAAATTTCCAACTAGCTCAAGACCTAAAGAATGGCTTACCTTTGAAACCTTGCTTAACTCTATCCCAACTACATAATTGGTCCAATAAAAGATATCACCCTAAGAAATCCTTGCCGTTAGCTCTTGTCATCATAACAAAAGAAGTTATATTAAAAATAAACAAACAAACACTTTTACTATTATCTGAAGAATGATTTGTGACATTAAACAAGAAAAAATACTTACAGTCCTCAGGATAAACACATTTAAGTGTCACCTCATCAAGTATCATATTCTTAGGACAATATGGTAAGCATCCTTCAACCCTGCAAAAAAAGTGTTTAATTATAATCTCTAAAATTATTCTAGAAAAAAATGGCAAGTTCAGAATATCTACATTGTTTCATGAAACAACTTTTTCAAGATTTCACTGCATCCATGTCTGTTCCTTGTACATCCTGAGAACTTTTTCATTTCTAGGCATTTACAGCTTATGCTTTTATAGCTTAAGCTATACATTCATATGCCTTCCAGGCACTTTAGAAGGCTAGATACAGCCAGATCCTATAGAGCTTCTAAAGATGTGACACAGCCCTCTAAAAACTAGTAGGGGATCATTATACTGCATAAATAAGTACATTTTTAACATCATGAAGGCATTCAGACTGCCTCTGAAGAGTCTCGTGTTCCCAATTGCCATTAACACAAATTGCATGCATAACCTCATTTTAGTGAGGCACATATTAAAATGGTGCTTAACAATTACAATTTCAACAATATTGAAATGTCCAAGAAAAGTAGCTTAGAACCACCACAGGCAACCTGAACTAGTAATGTATTTCTGGTGAAAAACAGTAGAGGACTGTAGTGATATCCTAAAACACCTAAGTACAACTAGTTTTGCAAGCAAACTTTATGCTTGTTCTTTTTTGTTTGTTTGTTTTTAAAGATTCCCTTTTTTATGTTAGTGCTTGCAGGCTGTGGTAGAAATAGACCCTTGGAGATGGAAGGGCTATTTACCACTAACAAGTAGTGGATTGAAATATGCACTATATAGTTTCATAACATATGACAACCTGCTTCATATCACTTGCCAAAGTTCAAACTTTTTTTTAGGAGAGAGTAGTTCAAAACTCATTATTCATTCAATATTTGGCTTGTGTGTGAATGCCCAAGTAAACGTACCAACTGCAATACTGTTTTTTGTAGGGTTTCCATAATTTATACATATGCTATGTCTTTGCTAACAAAAGTGAAGAAAATATCCACACACTACACCTATTTAATATATTTGTTTTCTACAAAAGGGATGAAGACTGTCATCTTATTTGAAGAGGCCAAAGAAGATTTCTTTTCTTAGTACCAACCTGTAATGGGCTTGAATCACTGACTTCATGAGGAAAAGCTCTATATCCCATTACCAAATCTCCCAGATCTTCAGCAGTCTCTCTTTGTTCTCAGTTATGGTCTATGCCCCATAAAGATGAGCATGTATCATAGCTACTGAGCCTCATCATTTTACAGGACACATGAAACCAGTTCATCCTTATTGTAACTCCAATGAAGTAAATGGTATAAAATGGTAAAAAATGGAATATATATGTGTAACAAGTGGGTGTCCTGAGGCTGGTAGAGTCATTGGCCCACCCATTTGTCTCAGGGCTAACTGCCTGCCTACCTCACCTGCCACACCTTTGATAATACTAATTGGAATAGGTTAACCAGGCAGGAGGCTGCTCATTTACTTGCCCTGATGCCAAGGGCATATATACATGGCTCTGAACCTTCCCTTATATTATGTCCCATGCCTCACAGATGGCATCCATCCTCACACTGGGCTTGCAATCCCTGTGCCCTCAAACACTGGGCTCACAATCTCATTTACTCAAGACTCCCAGGGCCTTAATTCCCTTGCCCCAGGAGCTTCACACGCAGCTCCTTCATGGGCTTAGGGCCCCAGCCCCTGGAGCCTCACACCCAGCTCCTTCATACACCTCATGTCTTGCTGTGAACCTGCGCGCTGCCTCAGGCCACCTTCTATGGCCTGGGCCCTGCCTCAGGCCTCACTGTAAAGCCTGCACCCTTGCTTTGTCTTCAGTTGTGCTCCCCTAGCTTTCCCCTACACAGGGTAACCTTCAAGGCAGTGGGGGCTGAGGCTTTATGGCACCCCATACTCGCCCTTCACTGGGAAGGTACAGATGTAGCATTTCCTGGAGACTGCCCTGCCACTAGCAGTCCCACGACACCACCTAGCCCCAAGCAAGGTGTAGTTTTAGGTTATGCCCCAGGACCAGGAACCTCCAGCCATCCCCACAGTTCCTGCCCTGTACCTCCAAGATGTTATGAACAGGAGCTCCAGCAGGGTAATGCTCTCTCCTTGGCTGCTTGCGACAGACTGCTGGCTCCATTGCTCAGGGCCTGCTTGTATTTCAAGCAGTTTGGCCCTGTTCCCAATCAGGCAGTTGTGCCTTATTGGGAGGGCAGTCACCTGCAGGCTGCTCTGCTGCTTGCCCATGCCCTTTTGAGTAACAGAGCACAAGTGCTCTGTTACAATATCCTATAAAAACAGTATGGTAGAAATATTTTCTCTTGACTTACGGTGGAAGAAATTTACATGTTACTCCTTCAGGGTCACTACATGTACTAACACATGGACTAGCACAAGGTTCATATCTCCATTCACACATTCTCCTATAAGGCACTGATGCATGGAGCTCTAAGAAACAAAAAAAAATCATAGTAATTATTGATTCAAAATCTTTTCTATGATTTACATATCAGAGTATTCAGAGAAATGAAACTCCTCATAGCATCTTGACAAAATTGGTTACCAAACTGGTAATACTGTTTTTATAAAAAGCTTTTAAAGTAAGAAATAATCCTATGATTGTCCAGAGTTTTGGAGTATCAACAATATAAACAGCTATTCAGTTAATCACCAAATATAAACAATAAACCTATTTACTAACAATATATTACATATGCTGGAGGATTCACCAACCTCAGACACAATGCAACTCTCTCATTAAAGAACAGAAAAGGTATTAACAGCGCATTAACTTTATTACCATCTATCTGCTTTTTATAATGGTTTCAAATTCATTTCCAACAAAATGATCAATAACCAATTTACATATGGATCATATTCTTAAGGCAAGCTCCAAAATCTAATGATTAGGAAATCAGTAATGTTTGGAGACTGAGGTTGGGGAAATAACACTAAAAAGAGGAAGTAAGTACTTGTTACTATCAATGATGGAGATGCAGTGAGGGACAGTCCTCTTAAGACTACTAGAAAAAAATGAATACAACATCTTTTGGGATCACCTTTAAATTACCTTCAATGCTAAAGCTACTTGAACGTTTGAATTCTTCGGAGTCATTATATTTTGACACTTTAACACCAGATGCTGTGAGTATTATGAAAAAGCCTTTTTTGCTGTGCAGTTCAAATGCACTGTATCCTGGAATCCAGAGGCCCTGGTGGTGAAAGAATGTGGCTCTTCTCCGAAATGATGAACTTGCCTGCCACTGTTCTAAATAAATAGTTTCACTGTCATGGACACACAGGAAATAGTTTGGCCTTTCAGCAGACTCGAGGGAAACGAGAGATGGAGCTGTCACAAACAAAATACAAATCAATCAGATGCTAGTTTCAACTGCAGAATGGTTAAAGAAGATAAGACTTGTACACTGGGTCAAACCAAAGGTCCATGTAGCACAGACTTGTAAGTAGCAAAAGCTGTAAAGCATACGGTGGCTGTTGGGTAGTTTATGTTAAAGCTGCTGCTCCTGACACAAATTCTCCAGGGTTTGTTTACAAAATAGCAATAGAATTGAAGTGTAAAGACAGAAGGAACCTCAAGACATCATTTAATCCAACTCCAAATTTTGGCACAAGATCAAACAAGTACAAAATAGTCAAAAGCAAATTAATATTGGGAATCACAAGAAGGTATCTATGTAGTGTAAAGGGAGGGTGGGGTGGGGAAGGGAGGCAGGGGAGAGGTGCAAAGTTAGCTGCTACTGGTGCTGCCTCATTCACTGACACTGCTAAAGGCAAGGAGCTGTCTATTATGCCTCTGGTATCTAATTAGGGCTGCCTATAGATGTGCTCATTCACGTTCTAATTAGAACACACCAGAATCGCCTTACTGTCACATGTATTAAGCCCCCACACATTTCAAAATGGCCGTGGGGACACTTTATCTAAAACTTGTCAAATGAGCTTTAGCTAAAGCATCCCACAGCCATTTTGAAATGTGCAGGGACTTAATACATGTGACAGTAAGCCGTTTTAATTAGAGCAGCTGTCTGGGAACCATTCTAATAAAATGCTCAGGGGCAACGGGACCCCTGAGCGTGGGTATTGCCAGCCTAGCAGAGTAAAGTTTAGGAAATAAAGTAATGGGGGCAAGGAGCCCAATTAAGTTCATGGAAGGGGTAGTATAATGGAACAGTGGTGATTTTGAAGTAGTAATCAAAGTATGAGATGTATGGATTTGAGGACTTGGTATTCTCATGACCAGCCTGAAAGAAGCTATCTGGTCATTCTGGCTTCTGAGCTCTCACCGGCTACCTGCAGAGGCCAGAAATAATTATTTTACTCCTATGAATGCATCATTTGATCTCTGGGTTTGTTTTATATATCTATTCAGAGAAGATACATATCTAAACATTTGCTGTGATTAAGGGTAGGGATTTGGCTGACATGTACTGTGATCCCAGTAACACCTAGGAAACTCAAGTGTCTGGTTTGTGGGTCTCATTCACATTCTATGGTTCAAATCAAGCACTGGGTTTGGAGGGAAGGAAACAATTTTTTCCCCAGGTCAAATTGACAAGGACCCCTGGGATTTTTTGTCTTGTTCTGTAGCACAGAACATGGGTTCCCTTCCTAAAATCATTTATGTGTGCTTTAAGCCAGGGGTGTCAAATATGTGGCCCACAGAGCTTCTCAAGCTGGCCTGCCTCTGGAAGTTGGGGGCATAGCCTGCCACAGAATCCAGGACCCTTTATAGCCCTGGCAGACATAGCTGTTGACAGCAGGAAAGTGAGCGAGAGCTGATATAGCCCTGGTTGCCTTCTGACCGCTTCACCCCTTGCCACTGCCAGTTTCAGTTCTTCTGCCTTTGCTCCATCACCACCCTTTTCAGAGCTTCTGCTGTGTTCCCCGTGTCCCATGCCAAAGCTAGAGCTGCTCCCATAGCATGAGGTACACGGCAGGGGTGACAGCTTCAAATCCAGCACAGGATGGCTGGGAGCCAAAGTGGCACCTTGTGCTCCATGCCAGGGCAGGAGCTGGACCACCACTGCATGCCCTGTGTTGGGGTCAGAGCTGCCATATGCCCTGAGCTGGATCCAGCCTACAAAGAGCCCTATGGTCCAGATCCAGCCGGGGATGCAAAGTAAGTGCGACACCCCTGTTTTGAGCTAACATTTGTCACTGCAGTAGCAAGGCACTAGCAGCATCCTTGTCCTCCTCTCCTTATTTCTGGCACATTATAGGATTGCAGGGGGGCAGGGGGAAGGTTGTTTTTCTTACACGGCACTTTGTGGTGTGGCACAATGTAGTTTTGGTGCATTTCTTATGAACTTTTAAGGACAAGTTGTTGTCTGTGAATGCAGAGTATTGGATTTGAGAGCTCATGGGGTCAATCCCATGTTCCCCTGCACTGAGGCATGATCAAATATACCTAGTCTCCAGTGAAAGAGATACACAGCATCTCTAGGTATCCTCAAATAGCAATATTCAAATACAGGTAAGCTCCATGTAAATACTGAACATTTGGCTAGGTAATCATTTAGTCTCTCTCTGCAAGATCAGGGCCAAGTTTTGTGAAAACCTCTTTTCTCTCTTGAGATTTCAGGCACTTTATCATTCAGTCACGGCCCAAAGTAACTTGAGAAAAGTTGTTTTTAAATTTAAATTCTTAAATTTAGCCCAGACTAGAAACAAACAAAAAATCCAAACAAAGCAACTCATTTGAAGATTTTAGATATTCAAAAAAGAGTGGGGAAATGGCTAAAATTTAGCTGCAAGTATAGTTAGAAATTTGGAGCTTCTGTATTTTCTACAAATATTATTGCATCCTCAAGAGATATGAAAACAATGCCCATGTGCTACATCAATTTAATGCAGCTTTCAAACACCTTCAACATTTCACTTAAATTATTTTATATATTTAAAGAATTTCATTAGACTTCATTCTTTCTTCTACTATCTCAGCTTTCCATTTTCAAAAGTTTTCAAAAACTTATTTTCTCCACTGCCAATCACTCCATTGCTTTTGAACACAATTTCAGAGTCATTATAAAAATAACCTCTTAAAAAGGTTTGGAAATCATAACATATAAGACCCTAAGGTTATGGACAGACATTCATTTGCAGTGCCAAGAATTTTCAGGTAGTTTGCGGCACCCCAAGAGTGTGATGAGAAACGTGCCTACAGGCTATTTCAAGGGCCACAGAGCATGGAAAGAGCCTGTACTGCTGGCACTCCACAGCCAGGGAGGCTGGTGTGCAGAGATCCCAGAGTGTTTTGTTGGGATCCCATCTGCAAAGGTTCCCAAAGACAACCCAATGCAAAGAAAAGCACTGAATGGTGCTGAGAATGCAAAGCCATAGAGCACTAGTTCAATTTTAACAGACCTAAAGGCTTGCTGATTTCAATTCCATCCTGCAGTGGATCCCTGCCACCCATGCACCCTGCAGCTCCCTATCCTTATGGTTCTATATCAGACTTGGTTGGAGAGTTATGAAAATAGAAAATAATCTTAGTTATGTGGTGATTTTATTTTAAATAAATGGAGGGACATTATAGGTTTATAGTTAAGGGTTTTTTTTCTTTCCTCAAAAGGACAAATTTTGACAAACTATAGTTAGTAAGGTCAGATGGAAAGAGGAGTTCAGGGAAATTAATGCAGACAAGACTTGCAATTTCTTTAAGTCTAGTACAGAAGGTCCAGTGACTGCCATACTCCTACACGCACAGAAATCAAAGCCTGCCACAATTCTAAGAGATTGTTCAACTCCTATGTGGGCTGGTGTACAGAAACATGTATAGGCATGTGGATACAACCAAGGCCTTTCCCATGTGGTCTACAGCTCACCAACCAGTTTGGCATAGACAAGTCCACAGTGGGAGACGCAGTGCAGGTGGTGTCCCTGGCTAAGCAGCCGGTGTTGGCACTGTAATTCTCCACCTCTTGTCAACCTGTGGGAGGTTGGCAGTGCCCCCTGTGGGAGGCTGGAAGTGCCAGGAAGGGTTGTGATGCTGGCTCCACTTCAAGTGTAAAAGAGGTGCTGTAGGGGCTTCCCTTCATCCCAGCCTTTATGAATTACTACAGCCAGTCTCTGCACTAAGCACAAGTGGAGCTTTCAGCCATGCTACCACTAGGCAGGAATCTGACTTTGCCTCTGCTTCTGAAGAGGTAGTAAGGAGTACCCTTTACATCCTGGCCATGGCATTTGCCTCTTGTAGAAACTGAGAACTGACTTTTGAAGGACCAGACATGAACTTAACCACCCATGAGTTCCTGGTGATCAGTGGCTTCTTTTTCTGTAGTACCTTTGGTTTCTGTAGCTGTCACATTTGCTTCACAAAGGTCTCCAATTCAAAACCAGGCAGAAACAGCCCCTTCTTCCATCCTGGCTTGCAAACAACACCATAGATCATGATGTGACAGGAACAGATATTGTTGACATGGCAGGAGGGTCTCATGGATGGATATCTGCTCTGTTCCTTGGGCAGGAAGGGCTTTATCTTGTCCACAAAGAAAGACAAAGCTAAGCAATGCAACTGCACAGCAATTTATGAGCCTTGCTCTGCCTTCCTGGAGCAGTGGAGTTTGAGGTGACAGACAGACTCCCTGGACCTGGGAGAAGGTGGGGACAGGACAAGAACTGGAGACACACCCTGTTGCATTCTGTGCAAATGGACAGACATTACATGTGCTTCTGGAAATAGACATACTGCTGAAAAGTCCCTGTTATAAAGAGCTCAAACTTTTCTGGAATCACCGTGTTTTTCCCAAGAAAATTTGCTGGTACACCTATACAATCACTTTTTGCTACTCTAAAAAGGGTACTTCTTGCTAGAAATATAATCCTGTCCATGACCTAATTATACACCTACTGAAGGAAATGGCAAAGCCCCTACTGATTTCTGAAGCACAAAATCAAACACAGTATAAATTGAATATAACCATTACATGAAAAACTAGAATAAAAAATAACATTTTTGGTTACACAGGTCAGGTCCCTGAATGAAGAGCTGAAACTGCTGAGAGATATTTTTATGATACAGCTATAGACAGAAATAAGCAGAGCTGAGTTTATCTGACTGTTGGCATAAAGAGTTTTCTGTAAACATCTTCTAAATTATGGGCTTCAAAGTTACTAATGAAAAGCATTTTGTTATGCAAGACAATTAAATTGCTCATACAGAAGCATTTCCATTCATGTTTTGCTGCACCCCTAATATACATTCTTAACATTAAAGCTTGAAGCTAAATTTTCCAAAATGAGCCAGTTTTTTGTTTCATTATAGGGATGATCATTTTTCAGATGGGCTATTTTCAGCCTATGAAACTCAAAGGATAAAAATCATTGTAACTTATTTTAGAAAATGAATACATTTTGAAATAGACCCTTGAGTAGCTGAAACATATAGAATCATAAAAATCAGTGTTGGAAGGAAGCTCAGGAGGTCATCTAGTCCAATCCCCCGCTCAAAGCAAGACCATCCCTAATTAAATCATCCCAGCTGAGGCTTTGTCTAGCCAGGTATTAAAAACCTCCAAGGATGGCGAGTCCACAACCTCTTTGGGTAACCTGTTCCAGTGCTTTACTACCCTCCCAGGGAGAAAGTTCTTCCCATTATCTAACCAAAACTTCCAGTGAATTGAGACCATTGCTCCTTGTTCTGTCATCTGACTGAGAACAACCTAGCTCCATCCTTTTTGTAGCCACCCTTCAGGTAGCTGAAGGCTGCAATTAAACCCCGCCTCAGTCTTCTCTTTGCCAGGCTAAATAAGTCCAGTTCCCTCAGCCTCTCCTCTAAGTCAGGTGCCCCCTAACCATTTTCACTGCCCTCCACTGAACTCTTTCCAATTTGTCCACATCCTTTCTTTTGGGGGGGGGGG